CTAACCTATGCTTCAGGGCCTCATTCTTAATCAAGCATAAGGAGTTGCATAAGTGCTTTAAGTCTTGAGGCCTATCAGTCTATGGAAAAACACCACTGGTTGACATGTTACCTGTCAGTGTTTCTAGCCTTACATATTTTGAAGTACCTCTGTCCTCTGGTAGGAGTGCCTGGCTTGTATCAAATCCAAAATTATCCGAGTGAAGATGATTCTCTGAGTTAGGGTAATGCAGGATTTTTTCCCTCAGTTAATCTCTTGGCCCAACTTTTTAAATAAATAGCAAGTTGTCCTCATGGAATGTTAGAACTACTTGGGATTGGCCAGTCATCTAGCTGTGGGTATACATATATGCCTTGCCTTCTGAGGTGGCCTTGTCATGGCATCAATGTCCTTTTTGTTACTTTATACCCCATAGCTAGAGCTATGTCTTAATAACCACACATGATGTAAGCATTCTGTTTTATTAACCATGTGTCACAAGGAAAACTTAACTTACAAAATCAGCTTTGTCTCTTGCGCTTCTCTTAAGTTCTTCTTTGAGTGCTTGCTCATGTCCATTACGTTGTAGGTGTGTGTGCTCCCCACATGCCCCAGTGCTGGAAGTTTTTCCCTTGGTGGTATCTGTAGGGGTTTGGCTCTGGTGCCGGCTGGAGTGGCACGCGTATGCACCAGTATAAGGGGTGCTGCCGGTTCCCCCTCCCTCACTTCCTTCTTATTGCCAGTGACGGTGCTGGAACATCTCCTTGCCCCGGCAAGCTTTCCTATTTCAGTTGTGCTTAGTAGCAAATTTGTTGTATATAGTTGTTAAAGTTGTATAGTTAATAGTTCCCTTAGTGTTAAATTAGAATTAGTTAGTCCCATGCGGGACTTAGCCTAGAGACAGGGCATGCCATGGTCCCCGTGTTTCAAGCCTTGTGACTGCTGCAAAAAAACTTGTGCCAGTCAGCGATCCCCCATAAAAGCTGCCTGAAGTGTTTAGGGGAAACCCACATGAGCGACAAGTGTCACATTGCAAGAGCTTCAGGCTGCAGAACAAAAAGGAGCAGGCCATTGGTCTCCGAGCACTCCTTATGGAGTCAGCCCTTGCACCAGCCTCGGAGCCAACAAGATCAGACTCTGATCCAAGCATTGTGGCCTCGGTGCAGAGCACACCGCCAGCACCGACCTCCAACCAGTGCTGATCCCCATCCCCGGTACAGGCTAAAAAGTAAAGAAAGGCTAGGAGAGGGCATTCTCCTACATCCTGGAAAAGGAAGGAGAGAGTGGGAGGAGAGCAAAGACCTGCGTGGGGCAGCTCTTCCCCTCCAGACGTTAGCCAGGCTCCAGCTCCCATTGAGCTGTCAAACCCACTTTCAGACCCCACCACCACCACGGAAACTGGCAGAGGCACTCACCACCTGGCAGTGCCATCCATGCTGGAGGCCTTTCAGGCCACTAAGAACATACTGTCTCTTTCAGTGCTGCCCACATCGGTTAGTAAAGGTACCCCGTTCGAGAGGTGAACATGCCCTGGAACCCTTCCAGTGGTCTCCATCAGCGTGGCACCACTCTCCACTGCAGGGGATGCCCCATCAGCGCTCTCCTGAACAGTGCCACCAGCCCCCAGATGCAGGTCAGTTTACCTGATAGAGTTCCCAGCGTTGGTCCCTGGACTTTAGGCAGCATTCCTCGGGGTCCCGGTATCGATCGCTGGCGGTCTGGCGCAGATCTGCAGAGGCATGTCACCAGTCCCCAGAGCCCCAGGTCGGGAGCGCCCGAGTCGGTCTCTCAGTCCTCGGCACCACTCCAGAGGGTTGAGGTGCAAGTCCCTGGAGCCTTGTCATCGGTCTCTGGATTGCCAGTACAGATCACTGTGAGCACATTGACAGTCTCCAAGACGTCTATCCTCTTGCTCCCGGCTCACCGTTCCCGGTGGAACGGCACCATTCTCAAAGCGTGATGCGTCGATCACCAGGGTACTGTCGCCAATCTGCCGAACGCCAACACCGGTCACTGGAGTCATGGCACCAAGAGCCTTCATGGCACCAAGAGCCTTCATGTCTATGCAGATCCCCAACGGAGGTCTGCGGAGAGAGCTGATAGGAATGGGATAGACAGGAGGCCTCAGTACTGTTCTGGGCCCCCAGACAAGTCTCTCCCTCCTCAGGCTATGACAGCGAGGAGAAAGACCTGCCTGCAGGCCAAGGTCACCCACTGGAGATGTCAGCATTCCCTTCTGGACCACCAGTAGCCGCATAACCCCAGGGCCAGTGGCCGGCCTCTTGGTTTCGCCATCCATCGCAAGGGCATCGGTTGGTTTTAGGGGCATTTGAAAGACGATCGGCGACAGTCTCCCACCCGCCCCCTGACGTGGACGCAGAGTTGGAGCAAGCTCCCCAGGGACAGCCAGCCTTGGCTGATGCTCCCCTGACAGAAGCGGTGGAGTTGGCCGCCCCACCTGTACCTGCCTCCTCATCATCTTCGCCCGATGAGGTGATAGCAGAACCTTCCCCAGGGTGATACAAGAGCCCACCATGAGCTTTTGAAGAGTGTGACATCGAACCTGGGGAACATGAGCATGCTTGTTGCTCTGAGAAAGAGATTTAGGAGGAAAACCCTCAGATGTTTGTGGACCCTTCATAACTGATGGAAATGGAAGGGGAATAAAGCAATGATAGTGTGAACATACTTATCCTGTGTTCCAGCTGGCCTTTAGATCCACTGGTCAGATTCTTACTTGTTGAATCTGTCTTGCTTCCCGTTTCAGATGCCACTGCCAATTTTAGATGCCTTGTCTTAAACCCTGGAGATGTGCTGGGAGCCAAAGAGGCTCTCATTGGTCCTGCACAGAACCTGTGGCGCTGAGAGCCTCTGAACTTGAGCTTTGCTGCCAAGGCAATAAGACTACCTGGAGGCATTTTCTGCCTCTTTCCTTGCCCTCCAGATGTAGCTCTTACCTATGAAATAGCATGAGGAGGACCACGCCTTTTCCAGAGAGTTGCATCTGAGACTCAAAAAACTGCTGGGCAAGAGGTATAACCTGTAGAGCCTGATCTCTCTTACTAGCAGGTGCACAAAAAAGCATCTTAAGGGCCTAAAATACTAGCTAAGTGTTTTCTCACTAAAACTTCCTAAAATTACTAAAACTATAAAAAAACAAATACTAACTATTTACAAATGCAAAAAGATTTTTTTTAGCTAGGTCTGGTGAAAGACCAGGCATGCTTTCCAGATCTGTACTCTACTGCAGTTGGAAGGAATTGAGACGGTTGTGTTGCCATTTCCCCATTTTTATACTTTGCTACCCTTATGGCTTCAAAGATTCAAAAGACATGTGGGCTTCCCCAACTGGCACTGTTTCTAGAAGGTTCCACCAGTCTGCTGAACCATGGACACACATCTCCTAATAGATGAAATGTACAGTGACTTCTTGGAGTGATTGGGGTTTAGGAACCCTTCCACAAGGTCTTCTAGTGTTTCCCACCTTCTAACCTTCACAAAATTATTTTTAACCAGAACTATGGCAAGTTTTGACACTTCTCCTGTTGTTGTCTTTGTTCTTTTCATCTCAGTCTCCATGTTTTTGGGCCATCTCTTAGTACTTGCACCTCAAGTGAGCAGAGCTCTTTACTTTCTTGAAATGGATTCAAATTTTTATCTTCCCCTGAAGACACAGACCTTTGCAGGACACCTAAGGCCATGTGTCGTGCAGAGGATCAGTACTTGAGGTGTCCTGTGAATATTCCTCTTCTCCCATTGTACCTTCTGTGAGCCAGGATGACATGGAAGTATATTATTGTAGCCACATACCCATAGAACTGAAGGAGTCTGTGCTGTCAGGGAGTAGCTTATTCGTCAATGTTTCTAGTTAAACAAGAGATACATCACAACTCTTCTATCTTAGGATCAGAGTAAAAATTCAAGTTTAGTGGAATTTTGAAAAATATAGGTCCGCAGTAGCTGAAGATGCTATGCAAGGTTGTCAGCACATGGCACAGTCCCCCTTTTGTGACATGTTTATCTGTGGGAAAGCTCTTTAGCTCACTTTGATGTAGTTTAAATATATTTTAATTTTTTTTTCTCTCCCTCTGACTCTTTCGTTCAGTTGTACTCAGAATGACCAAGGCACCTGACTTCTCAGGAAATGAAAGAAATAGTTCCAATAAAAAAATTCTAAAATTCTCTTAAACACGCGTCTAAAATAGTTTTTTCTACAAAATATGTGGCATATACAGATATACATTAGTGCAGTGTATCATAAAGGTTTTATTGGCACTTATTTGGGCCAACCTTCCATAACTCACAGAGGGCTTCGCTGCTGCTGAGTGATGCAGCCATTCCAGACTTATGCCAGTAAAACATATCACAATACCATATGTTCTGCATATGCCACATTTTAAGTGTGCCTGTGCACCCATATTTATTACTTATTTTTATATTAAGATTTCAGTTTCTTGATTGTCTTTTTATTATTTCCAGGAGTGGGTAACCTGTGATGATGATACCTTTTAAAGAAAGGAATTAGTTACTCATAATTCTTCTATGTAGATATCATCTCGCAGGATTCCCACTCATGCACCCACCTCAGTTTGGGGTTCTGTTTTTGAAGTGAGGTGTTGTTTTTATTAATTTTTTCCATTCTTTTGCCTGCCTTCTCCTTGGCTGAGGTGGAGATGCTGTTGGTTGTGGGTTTTTTTTTTTCCCCCCAAGTAGTTCGGATTCCTGTATATTTCAGATTTGACTGGAAGGGTCTAGAGGCACTAGAAGTCAGAATGGCATGAAAGGGAAGGGGCTTATGCTCAGCTATCAGTGACTGAGGGTTAAAAATCTTAAGAATAGGGGAATTCCTGGCTTGTCTGTCTCTGGAAGCACAAGATAAAGAGTGGAAATTCTGAGTGAACTTCAGAGAGGATTACAGATAAGTACGTTTCTTTTATAATTTAAAGTGAAGGGAGGGTGAAACTAGAAGTATTATGGTATTCATTAAAATCTGCATACAAATATTCTTATGTTGTTCGTAGGAGAGAAGCGTGCCTACCTATCACTTCCCAGGCCAGGGGTAAGTTTTGTGGATTGTTACTTTTTTGTTGTTGTGCATCTGTTGATAACTATATGACCCCTACAACTTGCATATTGCTCGTGTATTAACTGCTTTGTAAAGATACAGACAATAAAACCTTGTTAATGCACACTTTGATTGTATGGCCCTTTGTGAGTTACTGGATTTTGTGAATTAGTTAGTAAAAGAGTAAACATTTTAAAAAGCCAGGGTAATTCATCATAAAATATGCTTTTGTTATTTACTTTACAATTCTATCTTCATTTTAATTAATTATAGTTTGAAATGTACAGAATGTCTTACTTTATTTTTACAAGATGTACCATAGTACATTTATTATTACAGTATCATGACTGCACTGTAATATATTGTAAAAATAGGTTTTGTAACCGGAAACCTCCGTACACTATTGTCTGAGCTAGTAACTCTTTTATTGAAGGAGAGATTGACTTGTTTGTGCATACTAGGAGGTGTCCACGCTAGCAAGGCTCTACTGTCTGTAAATAAAATTGTTTTTTCATTCAGACTTTATTATGTCATTTTTTATGTGCTAAATCAGTTTATTACTAATGCTGCACAATAGGTCAACAGATCAATCTACAGTATATAATACACTAGTTTCTGAAAATATCCATCTGCTGGTAAACCATCTAGTAAGTCCTGTTCGTATTACTGTGATATAGTCATAAAAATAACAAAATAACGTATTACATATTAGTCCTCTCATGGGGGAAGGGAAATGATAATATTATCTCCAACTTTATTTTCTCTTTCCCTGATCCCTTTTCTAAACCTGTAGCATTGAGGAGTTGGTGGTATGGCATAATCACCTGTTCTTCTTCAGCCTTCTTTGAATGGTTCTGCAGCAGTTTCAGAAGCAATACTTTAACTGTTGTTATACCTTTTCATTAAGGGTAAAGTACCTTAAAGATAAAATTGGTTCATTCTTGAGCCTACTTAAGGGCTTACTTGGGATTTAAGTGGTGCTATGCTGGGCCTTTTGCAAAGGAGTGAATGTCACCTTCTGGAAGAGTAGATAAGTTGATTAAGGAGAGAAGACTAGAATTTTTTTGGTTAACTGGTTCAGTGATTACTGATGTATAGTTTGTCCCCAGAAGAACTATCTATGTAGCCTTTGGTTTTGGGATATAAATCATACTGCTCGGCTGTCTTTGAAAGCTCTTGTTCATTTCCCTTTGATTCTCAGCTGGCATTATAGAGCAGAGCATTTCAGGAGGGAAAAAGAGTTGAGAGGTCAAGAAAGAGTAAGGAGGTTGCATTGTTGAGTATTGTGAAGATAAATTGACACTTTCCTGTTTATTTTTTTATTAGCATGGCCGTCCTTAGGATTTATGGGGCACTACACAGTATTATTAAGCTGGTGCCCCATACCCGACAGCAGCCTGGGCTCGCAGCCCAGTGGGGGGGATGGGGGAGGCAGCAAAGGATACCGAGCTGCCCGACCCACCTCACAGTGGTGGAGAGTCACAGTTCCCCGCAGAGACCCCCGTACCCTCTCCCTCATGCAGAATGCGCAGCACCAGCGCATTCGGCTCTCTAAATATGGCCCCTGCCTAAGGACACTGCAGCGCACGCTGGGTGTGCGGGAGCCGACTCACTCTTACCTGCTGTCATGGATGGTGGGTAAAGCTGCCGCTTGAGGCGGCTAGCTCCCCAGCCCACCTCTTCTGCCTGTGGCCCCACCCATACTCCACCCTTGCTCTGCCCCAGGCCCTGCCCCTGCCGCGGCAGCGCTGTGAATTCTGAAGTGTAGCCAAGGCCTAGATCTCCTCCGGAGGAAGAGTCACCAGGCTGGAGCAGCTAGCTGTGGGAGCCTGCAGGAAGGGTCAAAACAGGGATAGGAAGAGGCAGGAGGGTGGACACTAAGACCAGGGGTGCCCCAAATTTCCGGGTGCCCTATGCAGCCACCTATGCCTAAGGATGGCCCTGTTTACTAGCCAAAATCCTAGTTCCCTCTGAGGCAGCTTCATGTGTAAAAAGCTTGATATAGAAAGAAATTGAATAATTCTGGTTGGTTCCCCATTGCCGGCTCTGCACCCACACTGCTTGAGAACAAATACCAACAGGCAAAAGTAGTATAAAGAATAGGGAAGAAAAAAGTGTGTGGTTGGGGGAGGGGAAAAAGCACTTAAAAGGGGGATAAGGGGAGGCGGAGTATAGAAATTCTATAGAAAAGGAGGGAGATTGGGACAGATTCATAGCTGAAGTAGACCTGGTCGAACAGTTTCCTGTTGGAAAATGCTGATTTGACAAAAATAAAATATTTCACAGAAACACACTGAAACTGTCATGGGAAGTAGTCAGACATTTTGTTCTTCTTCAGGTGCTGGTCCCTATGTGTATTCCACATATGGGCACATGCACACCATCTGCCTGAGTCTGGAAATTCTAACCAGTATGCAGTAGTCATGCTTCAGACTGAGGACATAAGAGGCAATGTGGGCTAACGCCTCTCCAGTTCCTTCTGACCACTGCATGGCCTGAATTGGAATCCTTGTGTCCACAGATTTTTCCTGCTTTTATCCTTAGTAGTCTGCAAATAAATGTATAAATAATTTTTAAATTAGTAGAGTTAGTGTAAATAGTTATTTCCCTATACCAGAGACTTCCTCGTCCTGGTGTGGGACTATGCCGAGAGTCCCCGCATTCATGAACCGTGTCTCCTGTCCTTGCTCCTTCTCTGAGCGATGATCACCAAAGCTCTCTCTACAGCTTGGGTGAGATGCATATTGCTGTGAAGTGCAACATTTGTCACTCGTTTCCACCACAAACCTGCAAAGTTCATGAGCTTTGATTAAGGAAACATCTTAAGGAGAAGTCTGAGAGGCCTCACTCTGATCTGGGCCAGGGAGGCCACCTTGTACATCAGCCCCATTAGACGAGCAGCACTCCTTCAAGTACATACTTAGGAGTGGAGCCTACAGCAGCGAAGCCTAAGGTCTCTTCTGCCTGGGCTTCCCATGAGTGTAGGGAGCACTCACATGGTCGGAAGGACAGATCCTCATCCAAATCTGCCCATAAAAGAAGGGATTCCTCCCTGAACCCATTCAGGATGGGTGAGTCTTTGCGTATGGATCGTGTTGGTCCAGGACCGCAAAAGATCCCCAGGCTGGAGGGTAAAGCGCACAAGGAAAAGGATCTGTCAATACGTTGGTGGCACCAGCTCCAAAACACAAGGACTGACATCTGTTGGCTCCATCCAGAACTGCTGGACCTGGTTGTTCCTTGGTACCAGCCTGCCCTTCAAGGACTGCCCAACTTCCAGAATGTATTGGAACTATTGATCCTGACCATTAGAATGCCCTGAACAGCTGGTCATGTGGACACCTACGCTTTGCCTGGTCATCTTGAGAGACACATGTCACTGATGCAGTTAAGTCTTCTGTTGTAGCAAAGAACAATCCCCTCTCCAGCCCCTGGGCAAGAGCATCCACCCTCTAACCATTGGCCCGAGCAGTGCAGACAGAGTTCTTAGATTCGGATGAGTTGGACACCCTAGCTGGTTCATCTCCTCATAGAGAGCTGAGTCCTGATAAACAGTCAAAGAGCTCTGAATGCCATCCTCCCAAATATGACTTCCCAGGGACCATTGCTACCCAATGCCATGGAGTCCCCCTCCCGCTCCCCCACATACACATGGTTGATCCTTCCATTTGGCCTTATTGGGGCCCCTGGAAACTCTATGGTAGATGCCCTGGAGCTGTCCACGAATCCAACCACACTTCTTCTACCTGGCGCCCACCAGATTCCTAAGAGTACAAGGAGGCGGACGTTGACCTGGGTCTGAAGTACCCGGGGGGGGAGGGATATGTCAGTGGTTTGAGCATGCCAGCTGAGGATGGAGCCCAATTTCAGGCTTTCATAGAAGAGGGCAAGTTAGTGGCAAAAACTTCCCTTCAAGCTGCTGTGGACACTGCATCCAGAGGCTTGGCCACTGGCATAGTCACAACGCATGGTGTACTGCCCCATGCAGGACTCGCCTTTTGACGAGTCAAATTTGTTTAGCAGGAAATCAGATGAAAGACTCAACATCAACTCCTATGCTTCTTGGGAATTTACACCCTGGTCCAGAGGAGAAAACACTAGAGGCAGGTGTATAAGCCAAGGCTACCCCCTCCACAGATGTTCTGCCATCAGCATCCAGCCAAATCCCTGTGTAAACAGAGGCTTCAGAGGTCTCTCTTTTTTCAGCTCCCCTCTACTACCAAAACCTCTATCCATTCCCAGCTACCCACTAAGGGATACTTTTGATACCTCAGTCAAAATCCACCCACCACTACTGATGCCACCCACATCTATCCCTCCCCTCCTTATCTTTGGGGGCTGCCTCTCACTTTGCACCCAAAATTGGGACTTTCTCTTGATAGTTGGGTATTAGAAATTATCCATCAAGCATACTCTGTAGAGCAGGGGTCTCAAACAGGCGGCCCACAAGCCCCCCCGCCAGTGTTTACCAGAGCGGCTCCGGCCAGACATGCACCGGGAGCAGGGCATGCTCCCTGCCTGCCCTGCCCTGCGCAGCTCCAGGAAGAGGCTGGAACATGGGGAAGGGGGGGCGGAGGGGCTGTGTGTGGCTGTTGCTTCAGGCAGCGCCCCCAGCAGCTCCAATTGGCCGAGAACGGGGAACTGCGGCCAATGGGAGCTGCTGGAGGCGGTGCCTCAAGCAACAGAAACACACAGCCACTCCAGCCCCCCTTCCCCACGTTCCAGCCTCTTGCGGGGGCAGGGCAGGCAGGGAACCTGCCCTGCCCCCGGTACACGCCGGGCCAGATCCTGCCCCCCGAACCCGCTGCCCTGAGCCCCCTATCGCACCCTGCACCCCGAACCCCTGCCATACCCTGCACCCCGACCCCCTGTCTCACGCCTTACCCTTCCTGCATCCCAACCCACTGCCCTGAGCCCCATGCCGCACGCCTCCTGTGCCCCAACCCCTGCCATACCCTGCACCCCTCCTGCAC